TGAGGAGGAGATGTACGATGGCGTGGCTGTCTCTTTAATCTGTTGATTATGCTTTATTTAATTAACTTTAATGCTTATTACGTTTTCGGGCAAGATCCCAAGTTGTTTGACTTTAAAAAGGCTTCCGCATTATTTTAAATTACTCCGATGGATTTTTATATGTATTGATAGAACGTTTGTTTAAAATTGTTCTGAAAATATCGCAAATTCGGATACCAATTCAGTGGCACACCGGTCCGCTGTCTCACGGGTTTGGGTCATGCGGGTTGGGGTGTTACATGTTGTAACACATTAGCCAGAAAAGTTGGAATCACAAGGTCGGGTTGACCACCAGCGTTCGGGTTATTCCCAACATTTTGTTGATTGACAAGTTCATTTTGGACGGGAGGGGTGAAGCTAGATGCTTCAGTATGAACATTAACGTGTTCATTGTTGTTGCCTTGTCCGTGGGCAGATTCTTGACTCATTCTACAATAACAGGAATTCCTTCATTAGGATTCTTTTATTCAGTAGTTGAGTTTAAGACAGGAATTGCGAAGGATTACAATAGTCGATACATTCAATGGATTTGAAACGAACAACAAGAAAATTTTTAAACGTTTGCGTTCGATTGGTGGGATCGTGACGAATCTACAGATGGATCTTCCTTGCCCGACCCACATACGCTATTGGCAGAGTCTACGCTGAACGTCTCTTCTGGGTCATCTCGTTCCCATGCAGCCTTGCGGCGTAGATAAATCCTTCGTTTCATTATTTTTGCGAAGCGATGGGCACGTTGATAACGTACCAGCGAGTCATATACATTTCGTTTGTTCTTTCGTCTTTTACCATGTACGAAAGTGCGACTTGAATCCACACTTGATATTATTTCTGAATTAACAGTTGACATCTATAAAGGTTTAATGCAGTCAAATTCAATACTTAATTTTTTATTACCTTCCTGGAGCAGATGGATGCGAGAGTCGTGGATGTGATTTATATTATTTTTATTTTTTTTCGAAATATATATATATATATATATATTTATATATATACAATTTTTTTTTAAATCCAAATTTTGATCCGAAGATCGGGTTTAAAACCATTTTCTCTGATACCAAATTGTAACACCTCAATCCGTCCAGGTCTGCAGCCCCTTTCGGACTAAAGTATAAACTTGGTATTTGTAAACATTCAAAAGGTTTCAAGCATTTTAAAACTTTATTTCATAATAAAGTATTCAGAATAATAACAGAGTAGTTAATGTTGCGGAAGCTGAATAAATAACAATTACAAAACATAATAATA